ATAACTTAATATTATACATAAATAAAAGCTATCAATATTAAAAATTATTGTTATAAATATTAGTATAAACCTGTCAGCAAAGTGATAGGTTATACCTAGTGAATTTTCATAATTTTTTACTTAAAGTTTTATTGTTCCAACCCTTGCGAATGCGATAATGCGTAATACGATAATACAGTGTAAAATGCTTTAATCATGATGAAATTGGTAGGTTTAGTTAGAGCAAAAACATATATAAGTTTTAACCTTATAAGAAATTTAATTTCTAATTATGTTAGATAGCACAATCAAAATACGTAGAAATACCCCAATTTGCCGACAACTATTTAAAGCCATTTAGCTGATATTATATAGGTGAAAATTACTACATATTAATATATATCTGTAACTAATAAAATGCTAACCATAACTCTTTGTAATGTCGGTTAAATGGCTGTAGATAAAATTGCTGTAGAAGAAATGAGATCCACTTATCAAAAATAAATCATATTAGACAAAAGTTAGAACATTACTATTATCTTTTTGTTTGCATTACTTTAGTATAAAATAACCCTGTAATGAAGTCACAGGTTAATAAATTATGTAAATTTATATAAATCTATTTTGACCACTACTTTATGATTTTGTTGCAAGGCTAAACCGAAATACAATCAGACCTCTCTAAGTACACTCTCTATAAATGCACACACTCTCTAAGTATATACTCAAATTCTAGCCCGAATATATACTTAATCTCTATAAATGCATTTTTTCTTATTTTTCTCTAAATATATGTTGTTAAAGTGTATTTTCTGAGGGTTTACACTTAGAGAGGCCCGACTGTATTCTTTAAATACATATTAAAATATGTTCCGAGAATGTGCACTTAGAGAAGTCTGACTATATATTAAAATTAAATATCATTGATACCAATACATATATAATCCATAGTTTTTAATGCATTAAGAAAGATATTTTAAACAATGGATAGTAGCACAGTAAATGGTCATTGTTTATTTTAGCACCGTTCTGTTGATTTCTTTTATTATATAGTTCTGTCCAGTAATTTTTGTTTTATTAGTCTTTTTTTGTTATATAGTTCTGTCCAGTAATGGTAGCTAATTTTTATTTTGTTCTTTTTTTGTTATATGCTCTCTAATAACAGTACATAGTTAATTTTTTGTTCTGTTGGTCTTTTTGTTACAGTATATCGTTCTGTCCAGTAACGGTAATTAATTTTTTTTAAAAAAAATCTAAATAGTAAATGAATACATATCTTAACAATTGAATTTTGCAAATATTTAATAGTCGTAAATTGCTAATGTTAAAAAAAAAATGGCATTTTACAAAATCAGAAGATGCTTTTCTTGTTAAAAATGTTTATTTTGTTTTACTAATCCACTTCCAGAATTATGTGAATACAATACTTCTCAAAAGCCATTTTGTTCTAATTTATATTCTAAAGAGCAACAAATTTATAGTAGAGTTTATGATCCTAATAATATACAAATAAATCAAAAACTATTTCTTCAACATTATAATCATTGTCTCGCATATAGCTATGATTTTAATCAATCATTTAATCTTAGCTTTTGTTCAACATGCCATTCATGATATAATCATGCTAAAGAAAGTTTTAATGATATAAATTTTTCTTTGACTACTACAAATACTAGCAGTTATGATTCTGATTCATCAGTAGAATTAATTTCATCAAAGAAAGATATTTTATCAAGAAAAGATTCTAATTTTTGTTCAAAAGTTAAAGCCAAGGTCACGGTTAATATTAGTAAATCTGATCCAATTCCAGCAAAATGGCTTATACTTGAATTAAATGATTTTAATATTTTTCAACACAATCTTGTTAAGCATGTTCAAATATGTATTGATGATAATAATTTCAATAATGATATCAAAGTCTCTTACAAAATAAATAGACATAGACAAGCAATGGCATTATATGATGAAGACGATTATGACGCATTTATTAGTGAATACCAAAAATTAGAAAATTCAGACAAATATATAGCATTATATATTGAGTTAAAGGTACCTAATAATAAAAAAAAGAAAAACTAGAGTATGTTTAATTTTATATTATGTTGTTATAATGTGTATTATATATTTTTAACTGTATTTGGTATATGAATTTATAGAATTTAACTGAAGAAACCAGCAATTCGGATGAAGAAATACCAAAAACAAAAAAATTAAAAGCAAATTTCATACCGAAGGTTTCAAAGCTTAATTCTGATGAAATTGAATTGGCTAATATTATTTCGCAAATTAGATCTAAATACTAATGTGATACTCACACTATGCTCTGCTATATTAAAGATAATAAATATCTTCAATTAATACCCTCACAATTACATTTGTGGACAAGAGACATAGTAAATATTATTACTGTATTATAAATTAGTTATTGTAACTGGTATTTTCAGTATTTCTACACCTATTTTGATAAAAATATTGGATTAGAGTTACTCTTTTTGATATAGTGTAGATACAAAAAGAGTGAAATTTGTTTTTTTTTGATGCTGATCTTCAATTAATTAGGGTTAGATAGTAGTGTATATGTATGTACAGTGTGAGAAATCTAAAAACCCCAATCCTCTATAGAGACAAATACGTATAAATAAGGTATTTTCTAAATTGTTAGCATCAATATATAAAGTGCGTATATAAATACTTTATTGAAGTCGATAATTTAATATTTGATTTTAATTTATAGAAGTTAATAATTTAATTTTATTTGCTACTTGATTATGCATAGAACAGACCATCTCTTCAGAATTAATATAACGTATAATTAAGTATAATTAAGTAAATATAATTAAATAGTTCATTTGAAATCAAGCATTTCTTAAATTATCAATTTCAAATATTTATAGCTCTCAGCGAGATCAAACTCATTATAACTTTGGAAAGACTGAGCCTTGTTGATGAATAAAAATATTTTGTTTATATACGCACTTTATTGATTCCAATAATTTAGAAAATAATTTGTTTATCTTGTCTCTATAAGAAAATTGTAGTTTTTAGATTTCTTGCACCGTACGTACATATCAATAATGTAACCACCTCTAACATAATTTTACATACCATTATATGCAGATCATTATATTAGTGAACCTGGTTTTTATTTTAGTATTTCTACATATTTATGCTATACATAATTTCTTAAATTAACATATACTGTACTAAATATTTGTTGCAGAAAGCTAAACTTACAACTATAGAAACACCCTCCTCTTATCTGACTTTTAGAATAAGAAATGCTATCAAAACTAATATATAAACATCACAAGCGCAATCACAATCTGCAGTTATATCAAGTTCAATTACTTTATATGATTTTTTTGAAGAGTTAGATTAGCGTTATAATGGTAATAGTGCTTATTTAGACTTGGAAGCAGCATTTGCCAAGAAGAAATAACTGTAAATTCTATTAAAGACTTAAATGATTCTGAATTAATTCAATTAGAAGTTACCAAAATTGGGTAGCAAAAAAATATTATACAGGCGAGCAACAAATATTAATATGTACTGTATTATTAATATAATATAATAAATAATAAAATCTATATGCTATTTGTTATAAAAAAAAATTTAATAATAGTGGATAGACTCTATTAGAACAAGTTTTATAAACGTATTAAAGAATGTAGAAAAATATTATAAGATCTAAAATGCAATATTATAGACCTTTATTGGGTTATAATCAAGTAAAAAATCCTTTAGTTGCATTAAAATACACGTTGACCAAAAGTCAAAACTAGCTAAAAAGCTTTAATTCTTAAGTATTACTTGTTACATCAAACTGCATAGAAGTTAATTGTATTGCTTTATATTCTTTGCAATTATATAATAAACAAAATAGATACCACCAGACAATATAATGTAACTATTATTTTAATCATTCTATATAGTAGGGTTATTAATGTTTGAAAATCAGTTATAATTCAAACTAGCTTGGAGTATTAAGTTCTAATATAATAAACCTGTTTGGTTTTTAGTTTAGCAAACTGGTTTAAACTTATATATTTTATAATTTATACCAACCTGTTTGACTAATTTGAGTTTAAACTAGAGTGCTACTCCAATTAATCTTCTGATAAAATAGTAATAGACAATATGAATATTCGATTTCTGGATGAAGATAGAATATATAATAAAAATGACAATAATTAATATTCATTGAGTTTTTGCAACTGCAAGGCATGATATACGTAATACTTATATAGAGTATATAAATCCAGCTATACTACATATATTATTTGTGAATATATAATTGAGTTTTATATAAGTCAAACGAAGAAATCAAATCTAAATTAACCTTTTCAATCACAATATTTAACCCAGGTAATAATAGAGAAACTGTATTCTTATAAATGAGATTGCAATATGTGAGCCTAAATAAATATAAATTTTTATTAAAAGTATATTTATCTATCTGCAATAATTGATATTATAGCTATTATTACAGTATTATAAATCCTAAAACCTTGATAAATAAAATTAGTCAAGCAACTTTTCTGCTGATTAACGTTAAGTATATGCGTAATTTAAGATCAGATGACTAGTATAAATACGTATTATAGGACTATATATGCGTATCTCTTGTCAGAATTGTAACATCTTCACTGAAAAATAATCGAAATTTAGGTTTATCAGTTTGAAAAATTGCTAAGCACAAATATTAGCAGGTTTTCTATATATAATTAGGTTTTTAAACATCTTTAAAAATATAGATATATTGATATATCTCTTTTTAACAAAAAATGATAAAATCTTAATTTTTTGGTATCTCAAATTACATTTTTAAATCAGTGACAAAATTTTTTTTAAATATAGTGATATGTTTTATAGAAGTCTAGTGCCTTTTTTATATCTCTCATTAAAATTTATTGGTTAACAAAACCAGTTTTTTCCTATAGATTTTTATACAAGTTAATATATCAAACACGTTAGACAAATATTTAAACAAATAATATTAAATGTGTCGACATTATATTGATAAAATTATTTGAAAAACAAGTATTACATGTAATATAAAAATATATACTGGTTATACCGAAATCAATAACTTATCGAATCGGCTAAAAAATTATTTAGATAATTTTTTTATTGGATGCTCCAGAATTTATAATAACTAATTAACTAAAAAATTTATTCTAAATAACCTGATCCACGAAAAAAATTTACAGCCATTTCAGACATAATTTACACACATGCTACCATAAGCGCATAAAATGGATCATTTGTAGTATTCATAAAATCTCTATTCCTCTGAATCCAGCTTTTAATAGTACTAAAGGCTGTTTTTATTAGATTAAAATCGGGAGAATATAGAGGCAAAAAAACTACGCAATATCCAAGTTCTTCTACTATTTTAATTGGATAAGGTTGCATTGTAGGGATTTATTATTAAATATATATTTTAATAATAATTTTAATATATAGTAATCAAATTTAATTAACTTACCACTTGTGATAATATAATTTCATAAAACCATTCTGTATTACAACTTCCTTCCATAATATCAACGGCTAAAAAACTATATAACAAAAGAGCAGGTAGAATTGTATATCTCTTTTCTCGAATAAAAATAATCTTTTTTCGAGCACGAGCATTTAAGAGTGCATATCCATAATATCTATTTAAAGTACGTTCATCTTTTGCAGATTCATCTATAAAGATTAGTTGGTCTGGGCAATAATTGGCTCTAATATTTGCAAGATATACACTCCGCAAAAGCTCATTTTATTCAGAGCCCATTTTGTATAACTAATTAAAAAATTAAATAATATATATTATATCAGAAACAGTATATAAAAATATTTGTTTATTAATTTTACCTTTTTATAAGAAATACCACAGTATTGTAATGATCGCCATATGGTGAAGATAGTAACTTGTTTTTGTGTATAGTTTTCATCTCAACTGCAAGCTTATCAAGATATAAATCTACTTTTTCCTTAATGATACATTTTAATATATCTAATTCCTCACGCGTGAAAATTTTTTTGTGTCTAGATTGTCCTTTAAATGGATTTTCAACACATTTCCACTTTTGAAAAATGCTTAATATTCGACGTATAGAAGCTTCACTTATAAAAAGTAATATCTTTATTACTATTGTTATAAAACAGTTTTATTTTATTAGTTATTATTTTATCTTAATATTATTTTATTATTTCGATATTTGTATTTTATTAGTTATT